CACGCTACACGCCTGAGATTGGCGACCTGGTCATCGGCCGTGTCATCGAGGTGCAGGCGCGGCGGTGGAAAGTCGATATCAACGCCTCGCTGCTTGCTAGCCTCCCGCTCAGCAGCATCAATTTGCCCGGTGGTACGTTGCGGAAGCGCACGGCGGTCGATGAGTTGAATATCCGGAGTTTCTTCACCGAAGGCGAGCTGGTCGTTGCGGAGGTGCAGCAGCTGTTTCAGGATGGAGCGGCGAGCTTGCACACAAGGAGTCTGAAGTACGGGAAGTTGAGGAATGGGTTCTTCCTTCAGGTTTCAGGGGCTGGGGGAGGAGTTGGGAAGAAAGGAGGTGTGGTGAGGTCGCGGAGACAGGTTTTCACACTGCCGACGAGGCATGGGGGTGGAGAGGTGGATGTTATTCTCGGGGTCGATGGATTCATTTGGGTAGCGAAACACGTGGATCCTATGGCTGCTATGGAGGGGAAAGACGTCAGTTTCACGAGGTTGGAGGAAAGTGTGAGCTTGAGCATCTATTCGAGTCAGAACGAAGATATTGGGGTGGATACGAGGAGAGAAATTGCGAGGGTCACGGGGGTGATTAGGGCGTTGGTGGAAGCTGGCGAGAGAGTGGATGAAGAGATGGTTATCAAAGGCTATGAAGGAGCTGTGGATCAGGAAGATGCTGGAGATGGCGAGGTCTGGGTCGACTTGAGCGGCGAAAAGGGACAAGTCATCGTTGACCTTGCCACGAGTGGGTTATGATGGTATTGACCACAATCAATGGCCGTCAAAGTTGCTTTCTACGCCTGTCTTCCATTCACTGAAGACAGGTCCTCTGAAACATCTCTGCATATCTACACTTGCGAGAATCGCATATGCGCAGTTGTCCAAGAACCAGTCGGACAACAAGTTGACAAGGTATCAAGCTGGCTTGGTATTGAAGAAGTAGAGTATGATCCATAGCACCTTGCGTGTCCCACAAACAATTACCCTCTGACCGAAGTATTCGTCTCTCGTTGGGTCTCATTCCTCGTCTTCCAAGGCCAAGATGCGCTCGCCTTGAATAGACCGATTTACTTCCCGCCAAACCAGCTTCCGGCCCAGCTCTTGCTCTTCGCTGCACCCTCCTCAACAGTCTTGTCAAACTTGTCAATGGCAGCGGTCACGTCCTTTCCAGTCTCCTTCTTGTACTGCTCGAGGATCTTGCCGGCGTCTTTCTGGTACCTTGCGGCGGTGGCGTCAACTTCTTGTGTCTTGGCCTTGGCTTGCGCGATCTGGTGGTGGACACTTTGGTCAGTCTCTGCTTACAGTTCAAGATCGGGGGCGAAAGGAGGGACTATCATACCGCATCGTCGACCTTCTGGCCAGCTTGCTCTGCGTAGACCTTTGCGCTAGTCTTGACCTCCTTTTCTCGGCCTGGAAGCTGGTCTTTTATGGAGGTGGAGAAGCGGGAAGCATCGTCTGGAGGGGTTGTCAGTCTCCTCGACGTCAAACTGGGGTCTGGTCTTTTCTCAAGTCTTCGGAATAGAAACCTCAACTTGAGTAGACATCCTCGAATAGACATCCTCGAATAGACATCCTCGAGTGTACAAAAGAAAACAACTCACGCTCCATCTGCTTCTCCGCAACTCTGGGGCTGCCACCAGCACTGTAGAGGTAGTAGCCAGCTCCGGCGGCGGCGACACCAGCACCAACTTTGAGGATTCTACCAGACATAATGTGTTTGATGAGAGGTAGTGAGAGCTTTGGTACGGGTGGTGAGAATGTCGGTACTTCAAAGGGGAACAATCCGGTTTATATTGTCGATGTTGTGTTTATGGCTTTCAAGGGCTCCATGGCGGCGATGACGTCGAGCGAACGTTTCTCGAGCTTCCCCCGCAAATCATTTCAGCACAAGCCACACTCCCGCCTGTTGCGACTCAGTCGAGCTTCATCTTTCCTCTTTTTTGGTGCCGTTTCTTCTTTCCTTGCAAGCTTCATCCCATCCCCTCCTCACCTGACGTTCCTTTCCCTGTTGTTGTCTCCATTACTTATGTGTTTCTGCATCTCGTAGCACTCCTCCAACCCCTAATCATAGGCGCCGAGACCAGTCCCGCCCAGCGGCGTCTCTCCTGAAGCTCCACCTCGTTCTCTATCTTCCCCGGAGATGAGTCGCAGCTCCAGTGCCGAGCGAAAACAGGACCATCGCATTGTTCTCGTCGACCGCACTGCCGACAAAGATGACGAACGGACCGATGCCGCTCCGGCAACTCCCCAGAACGAGAACTTTTCCCCTCTGACCCCGAGATTTACTCGAGACTCGCTGCAACGAGAGATTACCAAGCGGAAATACAAGAAATATCAAGAGAGTCGATACTCAGACAATGATGAGCCAGTAACCAAGACCAAAACTCAAGGCAATAGCGACGACCCACGCTCTTCGTCTTCGAAGATAAGCTTGGGCGACACTGTCCAAACGGATACACCTTCGGACGGTAATCTCCCGCGTCGAGTCACTACGCAAACCACTCTCGAAAGAGGCCGCAGGCGTGTAAAGAACAAGCTGCTCGGGACCAAGAAGCATCATCGAGTCAAGGAAGACGAGCACGATGCGATCGACATCCTCTATGAGAATCAGAGAGGAGCTTTCTTTTTAGGCATACCCCTTTTCTCTTCCGCGAGTCTGCTAAACTTCGATCCGACCCCGTGGGAGACTCCAGTGATCACGCACGCCGCAGATCCGAACGGTCGATCCAACGAAGACAACAATGAGAGCGACCAATCAGTACAACCCAGCGGTGGAGGCAACGACAATGGACCTTCCCCTACCGCCCCCGGCACCGACGCAAAGGCCAAAAAGAAGGACAATCCAAATACCCCCAAGAAATGGCAAAAGCGGCTTTCTCCTCCGAAAACAACCGCCACCCTCCACCCCTCTGCCGTCAACATTACCAATGCCCAACTACCCTCACCTCTCTGGGAATGGGCATGGCCACGTTGGTACGTCGATATGACTGGCGATGTTGATGAAGAAGGCTGGTCGTATTCCTTCGCCTTTTGGAAAAAGGGAGACAGCTGGCACGGCACTCATCCGTGGCTTCACAGCTTCGTGCGACGGCGGAGGTGGTTGCGGAAGCGGCTCAGGAAGCATCATACCGTGCTCGGTGGAACAGAGAAGGAAGGCAAAGCTATGAGGGAGGCGCATAGGTTGACAAGCGAGTATTTCACAATTCACCCTGGGCGAGATCGAGCTCGGAGTCCGGATGGAAGTATGGGAAGTAGCAGCTTTGCTGGAACGGGTCTTGGGAGGGCCTGGGGAGATGAAGACGAAGAGGAGGAAAATGTGGGTGAAATCAAGGATTTAGGAACACTAATGGCGAAGTTGAGGAAGGGAAAGATCGATCGTGAGAAGATTGCTTGCGTGAGGTCTTTCGTCGACAAGGGGGATGTCGGGGAGCTCGAGGGGTTGAAGGACTGGGTATGGAGATTCTACTTCATTTTCTTTTCGTCTTGTGTCAAACTAACCCGATTCTACCATTGCAGATGCCGCAAATTACCTCCCTGTTCATCTTCCAAACCTCGCGCCGCCAGCTCCTCGCTTTGCTCACCCGGACCTTCGACGCTCTCCCATCTCCCTCCCCAGCCCAGAACGGCAAGAAGCCCGAAGACGACAAGTCCAACGACGAATGGCGTCGCAGAGAAGCATTGGAAAAGGCAGTCAGGGCAGCAGATGAAGAATGTAAGCAGCTCGAATATTGGAGCGATATCAGAGATGTGGTTAGGAAAGGAGATACGATAGGGGAAGGCTGGGGGAAGCAGTGGGCCGGGCTGGACGGGAGCGGTGCTGGTAAGTCGGTCGATGAGGGGTCGAGGCAGACATTGAAGGGCGAGACTGAGGATCACAATTGTGAGGGTGGAGATCCATTGCATTTCTTGAAGCATGCTGGGGAGGATGATGGTGGTCAGGAAGAGGGATCTGAGAAGAACGGCCGGCGTAAGGATGATGACAAGAAGAATGAAAGGGCAGATGGTGAAGGAAAGGACAGGGATAATGAGAACAGGAAGATTGAGACGGAAAGCAGCCAAGGTAATGAGGGAAAGAAAGCAGAGGACACTGCTACCACCGACGGTTCAGCGAAAGCTGAGGGGTCTGAAGGTGATGAACCGGAGAAGGGTGACGAAGACAAAGGTACGGACACTACCAGCTCTCAAAAAGATACCCAGGATCAGGATGAAGGGGATGGTGGTGATGACTCCCTCGGTGTGAAGGACACGGTAGCGGCGTTCCTGTCGCCTCTGTGAGGAGAAGTTGAAAAATCGTGGAAGATTGATGTTCTACTTCTGGATACTCCATACCCTTACCTACATAATGTATACATTTTTGTTCTCTAGTACATTTGATTCCAGAGCACGGGTAGAGTGATATTCTGTGTGCTGTGGCTGACTGTTGAATCCTAGATACGGGAACAGGGGCGCTGCGTGCTGGTCATGATCGGCCCAGGGATGAAACCAGGCGCGAGGAGCCGGCAGAGCCGATGGTAAGGAGCTGGATTGAAGTCGCGTTTATGTGAGAGAGATGTAAGTAGGTACCTTTGAAACGATATGTCGAAAGGGGGAATTAATCATCGAAGGAGTTGGGGAGAAGCTCTGCAAGTTGGCCCTGCTGGACAGGGAAAAATTACTGCTGGCCACTTTTTTCGGACGAGTTGATCATGGCGAAAATTTGAGCGCCACGTGAGTGAATAGTAGAGTAGAAACGGCTTGTGCCTGTCCTATCTCACCACAGGTTGGTGGAGTGGACGAGAGGAGTCCGATGAAGGTTTAGACCACGATATTTGTGCAAAGCTCTACAAAAAGAAGAATTACATCTATAGCTATCTTCAGCATAATTAGATGGGATACTTCGTCCTTGCGAAGAAAACGGAGTCTATTTTCAAACGTGTCGACGTTAAGATCGTTTGTTCGAATCAACCAGAAATAGCCGAAGTCCCAGCACTATCATAATATGCACAAACGCCACAATATCAGAAACTATCCGATATGGTGTATCGGCTAGCATCGCCCGCTTTCATTTCGTGAATTGCGCCGGGCAGAGCCGGGTTCGACTCCCGGTATCGGAATTCTTTTTGGCTATTTGAACGATTTTTGTTTTTTAAGTTCAGGGGATTGGGAGGAGGCTTTGAGTGGCAGGTGGTTAAGCGTTCTTGGAAGGCTGGTTTTTGTGTTTCAGGTGCTGTGGGTGGGAGCTTGGCGGGGAGGAGCGACTGAGGCAACATGGACGATTCTGTTTCGTGATTGAGAACAACCTCCAGATTCAATAATGCGTTTTGGTGACTACTAAGCTACCTTATCGTGTAGATCTTCCATTATTATTGTAGAGCTCTGCCATGTTCTTTATCGGTAGCCTAGAATGTTTCTTCTGATTATCACACCTCTGAGACAACTCCAACTTGTTTTCAAAGAAGAAGAGATGAAGGACGAATTCTCATCATGCAGTTTTACAGTCACATGTCCAGAATCGCCTCGCATTGTCACAATACACACCTGTCTTCTTTCATCCCTTGTTTCTCGGACGCGTGTTGAACATCAAGTTTCAGCCGTCCAATGTTCTGGTTCGGAGAGCGACAGGATGCTGAAGTCATCCCGAGCTATGTATTCGATATCGCGTTCCTTTCCAAAAGATTTAGCAAAGACTGAATGACGACTGCTACTCTAGCACATGTTTCTACGCCATTGACTTTGGCCGATTACTGACTGAGCTTTTGCAAGTTTTCCTTTCTGTCACGTGGACAAGAACCTAGAAGCTTTATATTGGCTTGTTTACTAGAAACAGCCTCTCCAATCGAGGTCAGCTGTTCCCCGCGGAAACGATCGAAGAATCTGCTCTACATTCCCTCCAAACGTGTTCAAGCTGCGAGTATTGCAGCGTCCCAGGAAGGCCATTGGTGCAAGTTTTGCAAATTTTCCACCAACCTCTGAGTTATAACGAGCCCGATCTCAGGAAACCAATCTCAAGAGCCCTGACGGGGAGAGTGTCTGGAAAGATTGTCAGGGCTTCGGCTGTATCTGATTACGCAAACCCCATGAAAAGATGCACCGGACATCTGGTCCGCAATCTATACCACGAAGCTTGATGAAGCTTGATCAATCTTGGCTCTTTCTTAAGTTTCGGCGTCCCTCATGCATTCCTCGATCTTTTTCATTCCATTCGCTCATTCTGTCGCTTCGAACCTGTCGGTCTAGCTTGGCTTTTCTTATTTTCTACAACAGTCCAAGATCTCCTTCATCATGCGTTCGTCTCTTTTCATCCTCCCAACGCTCTCTGCTCTCGAGCTCGCGGCGGGATACAGCATCCAGCCCCGAGATACCGAGAGTAGTGACTCCAATGCCTTCACTGGCAATGTCTTTTCCTCTGCGGCGGATCCCGGCTGTACTTTCACCAGTGCTGCTGGGCTTGCCAAAGCCGGTGCTTGCAAGTCAATCGTCCTGAGTAGCATCGCCGTCCCGGCTGGTCAGAATCTGTCTCTCGAAAAGCTTCAGCCAGGCACGCAGGTAAGTAGTATGCGAGAGTCACACTGAATATCAACCCTAACTCTTCGACTTCCCCTAGGTCACGTTCGAAAGCCACACAACATTCGGCCACAAGAACTGGGCCGGCCCCCTCATCTCCATCAGCGGCAAAGGCGTGACCGTCACCGGCGCCCCCGGGCACCTCATCGACGGCGGCGGCCCTGCCTACTGGGACGGCGTCGGCGGCAACGGCGGCAGCGCAAAGCCCAAGTTCTTCTACGCCCACGGCCTCGACGACTCCACCATCACAGGCCTCAGCGTCAAAAAAACCCGTTCAAGGCTTCTCCATCCAAGCCAACAACCTCCGCCTCGAACACATCACCATCGACAACTCTGCCGGTGACGCGCAACCAGGACGACTGTCTCGCCATCAATAGTGGAACGAACATCACCTTCTCCAACGGCCTGTGCAGCGGAGGTCATGGCATGTCCATCGGATCCGTCGGCGGTCGCTCTAGCAACGTCGTGGAGAATATCCACATCCATGATTCCACGGTCGAGAGGTCGCAGAACGGTATCCGCATCAAGACCATCGCGGGCGCCACGGGCAGTGTTTCTAACGTTGTCTACGAGAATATCATGTTGAATGGGATCACCAAGTACGGTATTGATGTTCAGCAGGACTACAGGAATGGCGGTGCGACGGGGAAGCCGAGTGGAGGCGTGCCAGTTACTGGGCTGGCCATCAGGGGCGTGAAGGGGACGGTTGCGAGCTCCGGCCAGAGGTTCTATATTCTGTGTGCTGCGTGTAAGGGTTGGAGCTTTGAGGGCATTGCGCTGACGGGTGGGAAAGCGAAGGGGAAGGGCTGTATGGGGATTCCTACGGGTTTGGGGGCTGACGTTACCTGTTGAGGTGTTGTGATGGTGATGTAGGCCCGTAGTGGGCGGTATGGGAAGGAACTGCAGAGGATTCAAGGTCCCTGAGAATAGCACAGTCAGTATGCCGTAGAAAACCGACGGATTTATAACTCACGACTGTCCTCTCCAACTTTGCTGTAAGAAGACTCCCAGGTCGGAACCGTAGTACTAACAGCAGACTTCTTGCTCCCTGCGTTGTGTCCAGCCACGCACTCAATCGTAGCAAGCTGTACTCATTTTCCATCATCAAAACTAAGTCATGACGAGTAATACGACGAGACAGGGAAGAGTAGTCTCATCACTGTGTAATTACGCGGAGCAGTTATCTTAGCAAATACCGATGGTGGAGTCCTCTACCATTCAAAAGAAATGACGATGCTCAGCAAAAATTTGCAACGATGGTGACGGGAACTTGAGTTCGACAACTCGACGGGAAAGGACAGGGAGGGCGCGTGGAAGACACGGCGAAAAATCCCAGATTTGATAAGCGACTTCTTCCCCTCTGCTTGTAACTTCGAGGAAGCACAATCTGGGCTCTTTTTTGCATTTCCGTAGGTAGAGGAGGGATTGCATCACGTGACCTGGTTTGCCATTTGAAGATTTTGACTATGTTGATGGCTCGTCAAGGTCGGGTTTAGCTGGGGTCGTTTTTTGATAGCAAGGCCAGGGACAAGTCTCTTGGGTGTAATTTATAAAAGTTTCCATGAGACGAGATTATACTACCACCGTGTGTAAGCGCTGCGCGCTCTGGCAACAGTGGAGTCATGGCGGGTTCCTTATGCGGGCTTCAAGCTACTCGAAGTATTTGAAAATACGGAGGGACTTCAAGAGTGCCGGCCACTGGTTCCAGTCGAGGGTTCAGTGGAAAGAGCACTCATTGGTACACGAGCTCGACTTGAGAAGCAATGATGGGTAAACCCACGTCGTGCCCTCGGCGTGATTTCAACTAACCTGATCTCACTTCTGTTAGCACTGTTAGCACGCCTCACCTCGTGAGGTTTGCAGGACCGGTAACCGAGATACGAAGTGAGGCCGAAGAATCTCTGTTGGTGATAACCATGCATTGATTCCCCACCTTGATAGCTACTCTTTTCCAATCCACTCCCTCCCACCCATCCACGGTCTCAGGCACTCAGGCACACACACCTCTTTCCTCCCCTCGTCCCACCCGTTCTCAAGCAGCGCAGCCAACACCCTAGGTACGGCGACAGCGGTCCCATTGAGGGTATATGGGAACCCCACAGGCTCCCCTCCCTTAACCTTCCCCTTTCCTCCATCTGTCCCGCCGGCTTTTAACCGCGTCCCCAGCCGTCTGCTTTGGTAGTCCCCACACGCACTCAGACTAGTCACCTCACCCCATCCAGCAGCATGCGGGCGCGAAGGGAAGAAAGCTTCAATGTCGATTTTGCGGGTTGCGGAAGCGCCGAGGTCGTGGGTGGGTTGTTCGAGGATGCGGCAGTGAAGGTTGAGGGAGGTGAGGTAGTCGCGTTGGAGGGCAAGCATGTCCATGAATATCGATGCTGACGAAGACGTCGGAGCTGATTCGGTGGGATCCGTGGAGAAGAAGCCGTAGGTGGATGACGAGGAATTTGAGCTTGAGTTCGGTTCGGGAGTTGAGTCCGGCATTGTCCAGGCAAACATCTCAACCTTGCTGAACTCATGCACTCGGTATAGCCCCTTCGTGTCTACTCCCCGTGCCCCAGCTTCTGCTCGATAGCACCGACTCACCCCGACTACCTTCAATGGCAGCTCTTCCGCCCTCAACGTTTGCTCCGCCTTCCAACTTGCAAGCGGTATTTCTGCTGTTCCCGCCAAAACATGCTTTGGCTTCTTTTCATCTTTATCTGGCTGGTCAAGTCCGTAGATCTGCTGCTCGCCATTTGCGTCCCGCGGTTGGAAGCCGCACGCTGCTGCCATGTGCGCATAGACCATGCTGGGTGGGGAGACAACTTTCCAACCGCGCTGCATTGCAAGAGCAAGCGCGTACTGGATGAGAGCTTGCTCGAGAAGCGCGGCGGCATTCGTGAGGTAGTAGAACCCCCATCCGGACGTCGAGGCCGCAGCGGCGAAATCGAGAATATCAAGCTCGGCTCCTATTTCTGTGTGCGACCGCCATATCCTGTCTTTCGCGTCTGGAGCTTCGCGCGGGTCGGGATTGATATATGAGAGGACGGTTGGTTCAGCGCCGACGGGTGTGATGTTGCTACTGAGGTTCGGGAGGGACAGGGCAAGATGCTCGATTTCGAGGTCGATTTCTTTTTCTTCCGCTTCTATACGATTGAGCTGCTCTTTCAGGTGCCGCGCCTCGTCTAGCAAGGCCTGTTTTTCGTACCCACGCGCGATGCTGCCCTCTGCATCGCCGCTGATTGAGGCTGCTTCGGCGAGCGCGCGGCGGAGCTCATTATTGCGAGTGCGAAACCCGAGGGCATCTTTCTGGATCAATTGACGAGTATTGTGAAGTTCGAGTATTTTCCATGAGTTTTCGGCTTGAGAGGGATAGTTTCGGTCGAGACAATTCTGCTTGTACAGCCCAGGGTTTTGGCGGATGTGCTTGGTGTCGATCAAGGCTTTGGGCGCGTTTGCGGGACGTGTATAGCTGCGAGAGGAATTTGGCGTGAGGAGGGAGACTATCTTCTGTCGACAGGAGGGACAGGATAGCTGGGAGAGTGGACGTCGTGCCATTGTTACCGCA